CCATCCATCCATCCACCCATCCATCCATCCACCTATCTATCCATCCATCCATCTATTCATCTACCAACCCACCCATCCATCCATCTACCCTTCCATCCACCTGTCCATTCATTTATCCCTATTGCTGCAAGGGAGCCACAAGCCAAGGGATAGACGCGGCCTAGAGAAGCTAAAAAAGACAAGGACTGCATTATATTCTAGGCCCTGCAGGAGGAACATGTCCTGATAAGCCCTTGACCTTAGTCCCATTTTTGGAACCAGGAATTGAACTCAGCATCTCACACTTGCCAGGCAGGTGCTGTGCCATGAGCTAAATCCCCAGCCCCCATTTTTGGATTCTTGATCTCCAAAACTGTCAGATAGTGACTTTGTGCTACTTAAGCTCCCAAATATGTGGTAGTTTGCTACAAAGTTTTAGGAACTAGCCCACAAACTTGTGGGTTCACCGTTAGCATCAAATGGACTAATAAATAAAAACCAGTCTGCACAGAGCTCTGCACATAGTAAATGCTCAAACAAACAACAGTAGTAAGCAGAGACCCAAAGACATTTGGACCTCTGCTGCCTTTGTGAGAACCTAGCTAGACTAGCCAGAAGAGGAAAAACGACATGTGTGTGGCCAGTGGACAAGGGACCTATGAGTGACCCCAGCCAAGACTAAAAGAACGGCCCAAAAAGAAAGAACCACCCAGCGGAGGCCAGCCTAAACCACTAATCCAATATTCACAAGCTAAAATCAATGGTTCTTGCTTTAAAATATTGGGATATTTCATCATGTATCATTTTTGTTGTAATAATTGGAGTAATACTTTCAACAATTACCAATGACTGAAAAAAAAAAAAAAACAAACCCCCAAAAAGCTGGGCGTGGTGGCACTTGGGAGGCTGAGGCAGGAGAATCGTTGTGAGTTTGAAACCAGCCTGGGCTACAAAGTAAGCTCAAGGCCAGCCTGAACTGCATAGTGAGACCCTGTCTCAAAAAGACCAAAAAAAGAAAACAAAAAAACAAAAAACAAACCAATAACTTGTACTGAAGACTTGTGCTTGGCCTAGTACTAAACCCTTCTTAGACATTCATGTTTCCTATGAAGATGCCCGGGTAACAGTCACCTGGAAGCTGATCATAATGTCCCAGAGTTCCAAATTAGTTTTATTTGATCAGGAGACTTGAGGAACAGCCTGAGAGCCTACATCTTAACCATCCGTCTCCTGGTCCTTAGCACTGTGTGGCTGGGGACCGTGAACTGCATCTCATTTTGGATTCACAGCATCTCCCACATTGCAGCGACCCTCGTGCCCACTTTACAGACAATGAAAGTGAGGCTCAGAGAAATTAAATTTGCTAGCTTGTGGTGCAGCCAGAGCTTCAGCCCAAGGACCACGATCCCCAGAGAGCAAGTCATCCATTGGTCACCACGCTCCACTTGCTGGGTTAAGGCTGCCTCCACACAGGGACCAGGGGTACCGTACTGGGCTCACCTGAGGCTGGGGCCAACCCCGGCAGAGGAGAGCAGTGGCGGGCACTGATGAAGGCTGCTTTCTCTACTAAAATGGAAATTGCTGTGAAGTGAGAGCATAAATATTTAATTGCCACAGCACTGTTCTTTGCATAACAGTTGCAAATCCAGATTCGACACAAAACAAGTATACAGAACGCGGCAGCTGGGCGCATGCCCCCTGCCTCCTGGGCCGGAGTTTCACACCCTGTGCAGGGAAGGCTGCTCTGTCGGCTGTCCCCAGCCAGGGGGCTGCCAGGCACCAGCGCACAGCCCTCTCCTACTACTGACAGCTCTGGTGCTCCATGCCACAGATCCCGCTGTCCAGGGGGAGAGGCGACAGTTTCAGGAAATGCTTTTGCCTCTTCTCTGTCACTTACACCCCTTGCCCAGCTATCTCCTTCTTCTGAGCTCAAGCAGGACAGACACCACCATCACGTGTTAAACCTGCACCCCACTCACCCCATACGTTGTGCTGATTGGGTCCCTCCTGCCCCCCATTTTTCTGAGCAGTTCTCTTCCCTGTCAAATGACCCCCGGCGAAACATCACCCCCAAGGAAAGCCTTGTGGCATTTAACACTTCATCACCTCCTCTGAGAAATCCTCCCAGGACCCGCACTCTCAAACTCATTCTCCGTCCAAACACTTTGAAGACAACACCAACGGTGGGGCGGCGGGGGGGATGGGAACTGGCTTAGCCTTTGAGAGGCCTGCAGCTGCCTGGACATTAGATTGTGGGGTCAAAGGGGAAGGTGACAGCCAGATCACTCCAGGGAAGAAACAAAGACAAACAACAGTGCCAGCTGTACTAGCTGTCCCCTGCACACGCTCACCCTGCGTCGTGTCCAGAAGTGGTCTCATTCCGTCCCACAGGGCCTCTGTGGGTAGGTGCTGTTATCACTCCCATTGTGTAGACAGGCAAGCTGAGGTCCTGCCATTTCCAAGCCAGATCTTTCAGCCTCCTGTTGTTTCTGAGGAATGTCCCCTACCTCTGTTTATCCTCCTTGCACATTCCCTGTGGGAATGGAAGCCAGCACTGGCTCTGCTTGTTCCCCGAGGCCATGGCTGAGCAGTGCGGGGCGAGCTGGTGAGTAGGCATTGGTCACACGACGTGGATCATGATCCACCCTCTAGCTGGATCTGAGTCTGTCCCCCAAACCCCCGACCTGCTCAGCCTCCAGATTCTGCTAAGGCTCATGAGGGGACAGTTCTGCCTCCCTGTCCTGGCACCATTCGGAATGGCTGGAGATGTTTTCAGTTGTCACATCTGGAGGGGCGGTGTCAGTGGCTTTTAGCGGTTGGAGGCCAGGGGTGCTAAGTGCGCTTCTGGTGCACAGGACAGTCACGCAGGACCAAGAAGCAGCAGCCCCGAATGCCCACAGTGCAAAGGCCCGGGCGCCTGCCCTAAGCAGGGGTCTGGCTTTGTCTTCACTTGGGTTGTTGGGTCCCTCTGAGTCCTGTTCCTGGACCCCTCCTCTAACTAAACCCTCAGAGCTCGTCCTGCCTCTGCCTCATACAGCACCCCACTTTTGGCCTCCCATGGCTCTTGCTGATCCTGATAACTTGCCCGGGTGGTCTCCTGCTCCCGGCCATCGTCTCATCTCCATGGGCCACCGCCCAGGTGGACACCTCTTGCCCCACGCAAAGCCGCCCCACACTCCCTGCCGCCCCGCACTGCCACCTTCGCCACTCAGTCACGACTGTGCTCAGGTCTTGGCTGACACCCGCTGCTATCTCCGTGCTCTGCCGGGGTTCAGGGAGACCCCCATGAGGCCGGCACCCTCTCACCCCAGGACGCGGTGTCCCACCTGGCCCAGCACCACCCACCATTTCCTGCCCAAGCTGCTCATTTCCCAGGCATCCAGGGGCCTAATTCCCAGGAGCTTCAGCGTGGGGGTGAACCTGGCAGGGGAGAAAAGATTCTGCAGCCCAGGCCTAAAAATAAAAATATTATTTAATCGACAAGCCTGACAGGCCGAGTGCCTGAGGCAGAGAGCAGCCCCTGGCAACGGAGCGCCACACTGGGGCATTAGCATGGATCTGGGCCGGCCTCGGAGACAGGGCTTCTGCACTTCCGGTAGTGCGGGCTGACTCTGGATCTGTGGGCGGTAGAAGGGCAACGGCCCCAATCAGCTGGTCTGGTTTGCTTGGGCTGCTGATGCCTTCAGGAGATACAGGTTTGGAAGTGGGCTTGCATGGCGTGGGTCCCGGGAAAGCACACCCCTTCCTGCTGCACCCAGGGAGGGGGCTGTGGACCAGCCAGGCGGAACTGCCTCTTGGTTCCCCCAAGATGTTCCCAGCCTTGAGCCTTGCTTCTGCTCTTTGCTCTGTCAGAAACATTCTTTCCTCCCTTCTCTGCACCAGGAAATCTGACCTGTAAGTCTAGACCCACCCAACTGAAAAGCCACTTCTTCCAGGAAGGACTTCAGGATTTCTCTCTCTGCCAGCTGTTGCAGGCGGTAGTGAGCTGTCCACCCAGGGCTCCCCGGGCGCTTTGCCACTGGCTGTATCGTGCCCCTCCCCCATGCTTAGCAAGGTGGAGCCAGGGGAAACCGGATAAATCAGACAACCGGCTCAGATCCCAACTCTGCTCCTAAGCAGTTTTGTAACCTTGAGCTATTTTTCTCTTTACAATATGGAGGATGAACCTTGGGCTTCACACTGAGCCCCACCCCCAGCCCTTTTTTATTTTTCATTTTAACACAGGGTCTCACTAAGTTGCCCAGGCGGGACTCAAACTTGCAATCCTCCTGCCTCAGCCCCCCAGAGTGCTAGAACTACAGGCTTCAACTACTGCACCTGGCTGACCTCGACCCTATGCCTTAATGTTCTCATCTATAAAATGGATGCAATGTTTACCTTATAGGGCTGTTGTGATTTTTAAAATGGCAAAAATGCAAGCATTGCCTGCCAATCAGTGTCTTTTGCTGCAAGCTGGATTTGAGATCTGACTTCACTGCTTATGGGTTTTGGGATTGAACTGTGTGCCCCCCCAAAGAGACACTGAAGTCCTAAGCCTGGGTCCTGAGGATGCACCCCTGTTTGGAGATGGGATCCTTGCAGACAGAATTATTAAGATGGAGTCATGCTGGGCTCTGAATACAGTGTACTTGGGCCTGGTGTCTGTGTAACAAGATGATGCAAAGAGACAGCAAAAGATGGCTGTGTGACCATACGGCAAATGCGGAGCCCTGGGGCTACAAGCTGAGCAATGCTGAGGACAGTCAGCTGCTACTGAAGGTTAGAGAAAGCCACACTGGATTCTCCTTGCAGGCCTGAAGAACCGGCACCTGGTGATGCCTGGGCTCGGACTTCTAGTCTCCTGGCCTGGCCAAGAAGAAATCCTTTTGTGGTGATTTTTAAGCGCGGCCTTGGCAAACTAAGACAAGGGGCATGCGCCTCTCCCAGCCTTGACTTTCTCAGTCACAACCCCAGGTGTAGGGCAGATAATAAACGCTCTGGCCACTAGAGAAATGCAAATTAACTCTGAGATTCCATCTTATTCTTTTTTTTTTTTTTTTGTCTTTTTCTGAGATAGGGTCTCCCTATGCAGTTCAGGCTGGCCTTCAGCTCACTTTGTAGACCAGGCTGGTCTTGAACTGGCAACGATCCTCCTGCCTCAGCCTCCCGAGTGCTGGGATTACAGGTGTGGGCCACCACGCCCAGCTACCATTTTACTCAAGAAAAAAATGGCAATTATCAAGAATTCAAAGAATAATGAGTCCTGGCAAGACTTTGGGGGAGAAAGGAAGCCTTCTGCACTGTGGGTAGGAATGTAAACTAGTACAAGCACTATGAAAACCAGCATGGAGATTCCTCAAAAAAACTAAAACCAGAAATTCCATTTGACCCATCTGTTCCCCTTCTAGGTATCTTTCCAGGAGAGCTAATGGCATCATATTGCAGTGACCCATGCATCCCCATGTCATAGCAGCACAGTTCACAACAGCTGAATCTTGGAAGCAGCCTATATGCCCATCAGCAGAGGAATAGATAAAGAAAATGTGGTATTTACACACAGTGGAGCACTGCTCTGCCATAAAGAAAAATAAACTGAGTGATCTGTAGCAAAATGGATGTACTTAGAGCCCATAATGTGAAGTGAATGAAGTCAGACACACAAGCTTAAATATTGTATGGCTTCTTTTATACGAAAAACCCACGTATAAATAAATTAAAGAACAAAATAAAATAGGGAGACAGATCTTTTGGAAACGGGGAGGGGACCAAGAGATGGATGGAGAAGAGGGGAGAGGAAGTAAAAAGCATTAAGGTGTCCTATGTACAACCCTGCACGAGGGACGTGATCACTGTCCTGCAAACTTGGGCCGATAAAAATAAAAATTTTAAAAAGGAGATAATAGATATGAAAGTGGTGGATACCTTGTAGGTGCTGAATTCATGTGAATGGAATCTGGAGCTCAGCCACCTTTGGAAAAAGGGAGAAAGGATTGGGGAGATATCTGTACCCCCAGCCCAGCCCAGACAGAGGCAGCATGGATCCGACATGAGAAAGCCAATCAGCAAGGTCTCTTTGATGCATCTGCAGATGGGAACACGGGACAGACAACCTGGAGAAGGAACCAGCCAGAGGAAGTACATGCAGCATGAGAGATGGGGCCGGATTGGATGTCTCTGGACAGCCAGGAGCCCCACCCACCTACAGCCCCAGGCCAGGAGGAACAGAAGCCCCAGCTCATCCTTTCTACCTCTTCCTTAAATCTGTCTTCTCCTCTTGCCCTGCCCTGGCTCGTCCTCCATGCATGAGGGACCAGGGCAGCTGCCAGGGACGGTCACGGCCTCCTGTCTCCTAGCTCATAGTCATGACAGTGGTACAGGAAGCTCAGATGACCCCATGTGGCCAGTCCCAAACTGCGGCTTTTCTTATGGAGGCTAGGGAAAGACCTCTTCCACCCCCAGGGGACTTAAGCAGGGAGACACCCTGCTTAAGCTGGGGGCTCTCTCCCAGCTTCCTAGAGGAGCTCTTTCAGAGGTCCAGGAACAGTGGGCAGCACAGTGTGTGTGAGAGTGTGTGTAAGTGTGTGTGTGTGTGTGTGTGTGTG